TTTTATCCATTTTATCATGTATAGTGGATTTGTGAAAAAAGCAAAATAATTGGATACATCTACATATGATAACAAAGGATTTAAAAATTAATATTGAGAAGAAACCAAATCTCTTTTTATTATAACTTACGGGGAGCCAATTAAAAAAAGTCACAGAAGACTGATTTTATTTACACTAACTGCAGGAAGATTATGTATACATAATAATGGTGAAATACTGAAACTCATATAATGGAGGAGTGGATTGTGAAAATGTCAGAAATGGCAAAACTGTTTTTGCCTGTTTGGGGCCAAAAAAATTGAAAGACTTGATATGCTTTATCGGCTTTTTGTTGAAAATGGAAAAAAGTGAAATGATGATTTCTGGATTTGAGGACTGAAAAAAAACTGGGGCTGAAGGGATTTTTGTAATACTTAAGAGGGAACAAGGAAAATGAGTTTATAATTGTTGAAAAGAAACTTACTTATTCTTCTTTTATCTTTTTTCTTTTATTGCCTTGCTTTTTGCACTTTCTGTTTTTCTTTTTAATTTTCTTTATTTTTATATTTGCCTTTAAACTGCGCTGGACTATCTAGTTTGCAACTTCCTTAACTTGGGGCAGTTTTGGTATGTCTGGAAGATGCTGGGATGGGGAAACTGGAGGTAGAAAAATTTGTCACGATTCCTAAACCTTAATTAGGTTTAAATTTAGATATATTTTTTTAAATGCCTCTTTTATTATTTTTATAAATATGTCAAGGTAGCAAAGATATCTGATACTCTGTCCTCTTCCTCTTTTCCCCACAACAACAATCCTGTGAAGCGAGTTGGGCTGGGAGAGAGTGACTGGCTCAAGCCACCCATCCAGCTTTCATTTCTAAGGCAGAACTAGTAGGTAGGATGTGATTCAGTAAAAAAAAAAAAAAAAAAGTTGTGTTACTATTGATAAGTTTCTCTGAACTTAATCTTTGTTACCTATATTTTCAGAAGAAGCTTTTTAAAAACAGAGAAGTTGTTAAAGTAAGCTTTTAACAAAATTTAAGGTCACAATCTCTTATATACAATGTTCCAAAACATAAATGACCATATTGATGCAACTTTCAAATCCTTAGGTTTTCTGCAGTGAATTTTTAACTATGCAAAAGTTTAATCCAGCGTGGCTGCAAAAGTCATCCATTCTGATGGCTACTATAAAATTCTGCTTGTAGAAATCCACAGGAGGTATCTTTACATTTTTAGGTCCACCTAACCTGGTTTCGATGGTATTTTATTTTTCAGTTGGGATCAAAATGGAAATAATATGTTTTGGACATTTGAGAAAAACAAATCCTTGCTAGTATCCAGAGGGAAAATTACCTGTCTGACTGTGCTGAAGCTAAGCCTATAGTATGGAGAGTTAATTAGCTTCTGCTTTGCTCAAAAAAATGGCCAAGAGCCTGAGGTTTATTTCCAAATCATGACAATCTTCCATCCCAAATCCTTTTAATATATTCTTACTGAGCTGGTATTTCTTTCCACTGTTTTCCCCCCAAGTGCAGAGGAAAATTAAACACCAGCTTCAAAAGCACTGGGTGTTGTACCTTCATGATTGTTCAGCAAGAATCCCTGGGGCTGCATTCTCAGCTGAACTTGAAATGCTGAACTTCCATGATTTCTATTCCTGATTTCTAACTTCTTTTAGTTTAAAGGCCTTCTTCACTGCAGAACTGAAATGCTATCTGACCCATTCTGGAGTGAGCAGAAGACTATGCTGGCTTGGAATATGTTGTTCCTTCTACTGATCCTTATCCTGCCTGCATTGCTTTTTTATTTTCAGTAAAAAGTACACATTCTCCAGAGCATAGTGGGCTGTAAAATACAAATGATAATGCTATATTAATATAATCAGTTCATCATTCCTTGGCAGCAGCCATTCTTTCAAGTTGTAGTAGAAGGAGCAATGACAGGACACTCCATCAGGTTCTCCTTTCTCAACTGCTTCCAATCCAGTAATTTATTTAAAAGGACCAATTGTACTCTCTGGGCTCATCCCTTAAAGTAAGCATGCCAAACATAATTGAACTTTCATGTCATTCTCCCAGATTCCATCAACCAATTGCCACAGAAAACCAGTTCGACCTATTTGGGGCTCTGTGATTCAAACACATTGTGTGCTTAGATAAAGAACTCATGTTCATGTGCATTTCCCCCACTATCAGATTCCATCAATAATTTTGCTTTTCTTTAGATTTGTTTTACTCATGAGATGTAATGCAGTTGCTTGAAAAGTTTTCAGATTTTAATACTAGAACATTATTTTGCTAAAAAACCCAGCCACTTCCACTGGAGTAATATATTCTATTATTAATGGCCTATGCAGGATCTGATCCATTATATAAATTCCTCCTTAGGACTTTTTCATGGAGAAAATCTATCTATGTGGCCACCAAGAATCAACAACAACCTCATGGTACAAAACAAATCAACCAATTAGCGCTAGAACAGAAGAACCCATTTTTCCCATCTGAAGTACTGCCAATCAATATTTGATTAACAGGATGATCTGTTCCTCATTTGCCTGGAAGTACGAGGAATGGAACTTCTCTGTAATCCTCTACTATGGGATTTACGTTTGTTAAAAAGATGAAATTTTGCTCCCTTGGCTCTCTTCCCTCCATGGATTTTACTCAGCAACTCAGTCTACATTGCTGTGCAAAGCTCAATTGACTGCCTCTTTGGCAATCATAAAACAAAATCCAGCCCCATTACACCCCTGGATTTTATGACAATGACTTTCCTAAATCAATTCACAAAGAGTATGGATGATGAATATCTGTCTTTTCAACTTCCATGGGTTAATAGGAAAGTGTTGCACTTTCATTTTGTCCAAACTTTCACCAATTTTATGTACAACTCAGAGATTATATAGCCAACAATATTGCTGAGATATAATGTTCATAAAGAGAATAAGATTAATATCAAGGTAATGGCTTTGCCGAAATCAAATAAGTCAACAACTAAGAAACATATTTGAGAGTCAAGTTATATTAGCCAAGCCATATGCATCTCAAGCAAAACCACAAAACGTTGACGTTTGAATTATTTTAGTGAACGAGAAGAATAGTAGAGATTCAAATCAAAGATGAGAATAAATTGAGAAACAAGATAAGAAACAAAATGGAAGGCATCCAAGCTGCTTTATAGATGAGCAGGTTCTAGCTTTAGGTGGGCAGCTGTCATAACACTGTCATAATACTGCACCATCACTCCCATACAGAAGTATGGAGGAGATCTATAATCGATTTGCTGCTTGAAATTCTTATAAAATTCTCTGCTTCATATTTTGATAAGTACTGAATTTTCACATGAATCATGCCACATTATTTATACTTTCATGAAACAAATGCCATGTTATTTTTCAGTTCTTTTATAGCTTGTTTTATTATTTGGGGTCAATACTGTAGTGTGATACCTGTGATAGCATCTGATAACCTGCACTGGCAGAAAAGGATTTCTGAGTATGATTCTGATGCAGGCCCCTTTTGCATCATTAGATGGGAAAATACACTACCAAATAAGAAGGATTAAAGTATGAGAAGTGAGAACTATATAACTGGGTATACTACATACATATCTAGGTGTAGTGACATTGAAATATCATTCAGTGTAAATGAAGAATACAGAATACAGATGCTAGTATGAAACAGTCAGGTGATCCTTGCCTCATTTAGAGATCATGACAATGATGCATAATCCAGGTCCTGAGTTGATGATTTCACAGCAGGGAAATGAAATGAGATCACATTCAACTGAGATCAAGTCATTAAAACATCTATCTTCTGCCTATTCCATTAGAACATCAGGAGTAATGTCAGGCTGTCTCTTAATTCTAGAAAGTGACTGGCCCAAAGGTAATATCAATGGCCAAATTTAAATTGGATTGTTTCTGACCCAGACCCAGCATCTTAACCACTGCATTATGCTGGCCTTCTCATGAAATGTCAAAAATGTGCAAAAAAAAAAAAAAAAAAAGGAAGAAGAAGAAGAAAAAAAGAGGGGACTTTGAAAGCATGCAATATTTTTTAAATGAGAAGTTCATGAGGATTTTTGGCTTAGCTCAGACTGAATTTTACCCCAGGCCTAAGTGGCATGAGTCTACATTTTAGTTGCAGGAAAATAATGAGGTTGGATCCGGAAAGCTATGTTTCCTCTTGCAGGCAAAAGAGCCTATTATTCATTGCAGCATTTCTGTTTGTTGCCAACTGTACTTCACAAAAACATACACACAACCTTCCTATTTTTTTTTCCCAGGGAGCTGCTGACATGTGCAGCATCTTCTTTGAATCCCATTGCATCTGCCAGCACCTTGCCTTTGGGAATTTAGCTTTGGTCTGAATAATTATAGCATCCTGTATTATGAGTTTAGAAAGGGGGTGTGGGGAGAACCCCAGAAAAGAACTCTGGCAGAACAGGTGACACCCTTTGAAAAAAGTATAAATAGAGATAAGTGGGTAGTGGATTCAGCAATCTTACTTTGTGTCAAGTGGTGCCTCTTGCTTTCAGCTTAGCATTAAGGAATTTCTCTGCCACTATGAGCTGTGGTCCAAGACACACGGTCCTAACAGCTGGGAGAAACAGCAGTGGGAGCTGCAATCTTGGAGTCGGGGTTTCTTCTGTTGGCTCTGGGCGATATACTTCATGTGGGCTAGGCAACGAAAGAGCTAGCTTCTCTGGACGGAGTCATCTTGGGGGGAGAAGCCATTTCTCAACTGGCAGCTGCAGTGGGGCTTTTGTCGGTGGAGGACATGCTGGGACAAATGGTAACTTTGTGGCCACCTCTCACATGGGGACTTCTGCTGCTAGAAATGGTATGGTAGGTGGTGCTGGTGGTGGTCATGTAGGTATGGTAGGTGGTATTCCTGGTGGTGTAGTAGGTGGTGCCCATAGTGGCCTAGTTGGTGCTGTACCAACTGCTGTAGTTAATGGCATGGGTGGTGTAGTTGGTGCTCCTCATGCTACTATGGTAGGTGCTCCTTGTGGAGTGGTTGGAGCTGTCCCTGCTGGCATGGTAGGTGGCATGGGTCATCCAGGTGTTGTTGGTGGCATGGGTGGTGTGGTACCTAACCCTGGAGCAGTTGCTGGATTGATTGGAGAACCTGTTTGTGGAGGTATTTTCTCTAATCTTGATGGGAAGATGACCATGCAGAACCTCAACGATCGCCTGGCCAGCTATCTAGACAAAGTCCGATGCCTGGAAGAGGAAAATGCCGAACTTGAGTGCCGAATCAGAGAATTTTATGCCAAGCAAGGCCCTCTGTCTGAACCAAAGGACTATAGTCATTACCACCAGCAAATTGAAGATCTTAAAAACCAGGTAGACATCAATTTTCAATCCATTTTTCATATTTTTCACATGCATTTGCTTGGGACAATTGCAGGTAATAGCATTCCTGCTCAACTAAAGTTCACAATGCTGTGAATTTATTTTGCTGATTTCTAAGGACCAGTTTATTCTTCTAATCATCATGTATGAAATATGAATCAAATAAATTTTGTAAAATATGTTCTTGCATTCTGATCTGTGAGGACATTCTGCTTTCCCAAAATAATGGTGGTGGGGTTTGATGATGTTTCCACATTATTCTGTAATATGGATTCTAGTGAATGCAGAAAATAACAAGAAAACTTAATTTCAAAAATCAACAACAGTTTATAATAGGTAGCACTCTAAGTTTATCTTGAGTTTATCTATAGATGCTGCTCCTACTGTATTATGTTGACGTACTGAGCCAGTAAACCTTTTTTTAATTCAAGATTGTCTTGCTAGCATGGTACAAAGTCATCATGAAATGTAATATTTAATCAATTTTCTGCATAGAAGCAGTCACCATAGGAAAAAATTAAAGGTATCCCCAAGTTGTACAAGTTGATTTTTGGAAGAGGAGAATATTAGCTATGAATTAACTACATCTTGGTCACCACTTCCAATCATTTACAAACTGTAGGGGATTCCCACTCATGGGCTTGTTTGATTATTGTTTTATGCTTTCAAATAACAATTTAGATGTAAACAAGCATGTATCCATAAGCTAAACAATGAAGCTTGTGTAGTTTAATGAATATCTGATATGGATGGCTAAACCTTAATACTAAAACTTTACATGAAAGGCAAAATCAATGTAGATTTATCAATGGACTTGCATTTTTTCCATTTATCCAGCTTATTTGTGCAAGTGTGGAGAATAACAAACTCCTTCTGTGCATTGATAACAGCAAACTGACTGCTGATGATTTCAGATCCAAGTGAGTACTTTTTAGTAAATTAAGGGCAGATAAACAAAAGAATATTTGTTTTATTGAAAGTGCAGGGCTACTTATGGAATTGCCTTGATGGCCACTGTGGGTCAGGCTGTTAGAGGAGAATATCTTTCATTTTAGGCAATAAGGTGAAAAGAATCTTGCCATTCTCTATTTTGGGGTGTTACTTCTGCTACACTGCAGTTTTCCCTAAGTTGGAAATCCTTCAGATTTGTCAGGCTCCATTTCCAGAATACCTTAAGCAATATGATTATTGTTGAGAATTCTGGGAGCTGAAATTCTCATGCTTAGGGTGCATCAGAGTTGGTAAAGTCTGCTGTAGGACAAGGAAAAGAAAATGTGGTTCAATGTGCCTGGAATAAAAACAAAGTGAATTCTAGCAGTGTTACACTCAATGAAATATTGTTGATTATTTGGTATCTTCCTTTATTTATATCTAAAGTTTATCTAATACGAGGTATGTTTGAAAATTTCCCTTGTCTGGGTCTGTAAGCTAACCAGTAAAGCCTTCATTCCTTTTTTCTTATGGCTCAGGTATGAGACGGAATGCTGCCTCCGTCAGAATGTGGAGGCTGATATTAATGGACTGCATCAAATCCTGGATCAGCTGACTGCCTGCCGATCTGACCTGGATATACAGTGTGAGAACCTGCAAGATGAGCTATGCTGCCTAAGGAAAAACCATGAGGAGGTAAGGGTGATCATTTCCTCATTCAGTAAAATCTAAATGCATCATGGAAAATAATAAATACCTTATTAAAAACGTCAATAAACTTCTTTCTGAGTCAGGGTGGGAAGCTATAGATGACTAGGACAGTGTTTCTCAGCCTTGGACTTTTGACAAAATGGCTGGCTGGGGAATCCTGGGAGTTGAAGTCCATACATATTCAAGTGTCCAAGGTTGAAAAACACAAATAACCACCCGATTGCAGTTTCTGCAATTCGGCAATTCAGCATTCAGAGCCGTGGTAGTGCAGTGGTTAAAATGCAGTACTGCAGGCTACTTCTGCTGACTGCCGGCTGCCAGCAGGTTGACACAGCCTTCCAGACTTTCGAGGTCACTAAAATTAGGACCTAGATTGTTGGTGGCAATATGCTGACTCTGTAAACCACTTAGAGAGGGCTGGAAAGCACTGTGAAGCAGTATATAAGTCTAAGTGCTATTGCTATTGCTCTTATATAGAGATCCACAATTTCATCACCTCTGTGTTAGGAGGATAGACTATTTTACTGAGTTCTATCCAGCAGAGATGTCCATATTGCAAAGAATAATGATTAAATGAAGTTTGTAAAGATGAACCTTAACTAAAACCTCTGAAATTATTATTTGATCAGTTTTGCTAATGGGGACATGACAATTAAGGATCTTGCCATTTCACTAATATGGTATACTTATACACATCATGCACTGCTATTTAATATCACGATCAGTGTATTAGCAAATTAGCAACAAGATACCTGGTGGTACCATTGCATTCTTTGCACCCTAAAATTATCTGTGCATCCCCCTCCAAATAAATAAAATGTACAATATAAAAAATTAGAACAGCCAAAGGTTCATAAATTATTAGGTTTTGGAATTCCTGAATGAGATCTTATGATATATGAAGTCAAAATATCTCCAAGTTGACATTTCTATAGACTCATATGATATTTGACAATACAAACAAATTTTATTTGTTTGTAAATTAAACAAAGTGGAGTAGGCAGGACTGGAATAGATTTCTAGCCACTGTCTATGGCAATGAATAATATCATATAACTTACAAGATGGGGAGATCCAGGTTTTAATTCTTCCTTAGCCATAGGAGTCAGCTGAGAGACCATAGGCACTTCACACTTTTTCAGCCCTGATTAAAATAATAAAAAAATAATTTACCAATCTTCATCTTGCAGTGGATTGATTTGGGAAGATGATGATGTTACCTAGTTTGGGTAGTGAAA